AATCCAACAAGGGTAAATCCAAACACAATGTAGCACAGCAACATTTAAGACATGTAGATGTAAGACCAGACAAACTCAAAGTGAACATGCAGTCATGGCCAAAAGTTTTGGCAGTGACATAAATTTTGTGTTTTGCAAAGTTCGCTGGTTAAGCTGTTGTGGTGTTCATTCACATTGTTTCTAGATTATTGTGTAGAGTGATCAGATGCATTTTAAATAATTGCTAAAAGCTTCATTGGCCAAAAAATTTACTTTTCACAAAAAAACGAATTTCACTGTTTTTTGATCCTGACACAAAATGACCAGCTAACATTAATTGACTAATCATATCAGCGGCACATGTGAAAGTGTGAATAAGTACTAGTCAGATAAAATCACTATCATACTAATTAGATTGTAAGAGCAGACTGATTTTTATAAAAGGATGGAAGAAGCGCTTCCAATCATTGTTCTTGTTAGCAATGGTTACCTCCAAAGAAACACGTGCAGCCATCATTGCTTTGCATCAAAATGGCCTCACATGCAAGGAAATTGCTACAAAGAATATTGCAACTGAAAGAACCATTTACCGGATCATCAAGAACTTCAAGGAGAGAGGTTCGACTGCAGTGAGGAAGTCTTCAGGACGTCCAACAAGCACTAGGACGTCTCCTCCTGAGGAGTCAGCTATGGAATCGTGTCACCAGCAGTGCAGAGCTTGCTCAGGAATGGCAGCAGGTTGGTGTGAGAGCATCTGAACGCACAGTGAGGCCAAGACTTTTAAACAATGGCCTGGTGTCAAGAAGGGCAGCACAGAAGCCACTTCTCTCTAAGAAAAACGTCAAGGACAGACTGAAATTCTGCGGGAAGTACAAGGATTGGACAGCAGAAGACAGGTGCAAAGTTATTTTCTCTGATGAAGCTCCCTTCCGACTGTTTGGGACATCTGCAAAATCGATTGTTCGGAGAAGAAAAGGTGAACGCTACCATGAGTCCTGTGTTGTGCCAACAGTGAAGCATCCTGAGACCATCCATGTGTGGGCATGCTTTTCAACCAGGGGAGTGGGCTCTCTCATAATTCTGCTCAAAAACACTGCCATGAATAAAGAATGCAAAACACAAAATGTATGTCACTGCCAAAACTTTTTTTTTTGTGACATAAATTTTGTGTTTTGCGAAGTTTGCTACTTCAGTATTTGTAGATCATTTTTCCACATGTTTCTATAGTATACTGAAAAACAATGATAAGCATATCATAAGTTTTAAAGGCTTTTATTGGCAAAAAAAATATTTTTTTCTAGTCAATATTTACAGTGTTGACACTTGTTCTTCATAACCTCTGCAATTCACTCTGGCATGCTGGATATTAGCTTCTGGGCCAAATCCTGACTGATGGCGATCCATTCCTGCCTTATTGTTTAAATGTGGTTGCAACAGACCTTGAACCTCATGACTGGTCTATGTATTTAAAAGCAAAACAAAAACGGTATCGATTATTTCAAGTGTAGCTGTATTGTACAACAATGACAGCACTTTCCACCTAGGCTACATGTGGCCATGGAAATGAGAATTCCATGAGTTCCAAAAGACCATCAGATATTTTTTTTAAATTCTTAACTTCCAAAATAGTACCTTTTTCTGTACTGTATTATGTAACTCCTATTTGTCATCCACATCCTTCTAATTCTTTCTTTCACAGACTATCAAGTGCCTTCTGATCCATCCTAACCCAGAGTCGGCCCTGAACGAAGAGGCTGGGAGGTTACTTTTGGAGGACTATAAGGAGTATGCATCCCGTGCTCACCTTCTAACAGAGATCCATGCTATGGGAGGCACGTCAGGGGCCCCTCAAGAGCCTGCTGATGGACCCCAACCCAAAAAGCATGCAGGAGACCCAAACAAACGTGTAGCCGGGGCTGGTTTGGTAACAAATGGTGTTGCCGCCAACAATTTAAGTAACAGCAGCTCCAGTGGCACGAGCAGTAGCAATACTAATATAGTTGCAAAGAAGAAAACGGATAAAAAACGAGCTCTGAGGCGGCTATAAAAGAGAATGAATCTGTGCTTTTTGTGTACATATAAATATTGAAGTGTGCAGACCACCTTTTCTCCTTAATCTGTTTTACCATTTTTAGAATGACACATTCATTTTGTCATGCTCCTACCAAATCACTCCTCTCGTTTTTGTTCCCTTGTCTCTTTCAACTTGCTCTCAGGACTTGAACTGTCTTTGTGACAATTCTCTGTTTCGTTCACGAAAGGGGTTTTCATCTGTGTTTCAGAAGTTTTACAATTGTTTAGAGTATGAAAACAGTGGTAAAAGTTTTGAAAGTTCATTTGTGGCCTCTAGGGTTATCATGACCATAAGCAGGATTTTGGAGTGTACTGTCAGCACAGAATTTATAATATATTTAGATTGCAGGTGTGATGGGGACAGTTACTGTAATGCTGTCCTATTGTAGTTGGACTGAACCCATTAATTAAATTTTTTTTTTTTCAGGGGTTTAATGAAGAATAGTACATTGCACAGAATATGACCGTTGTGTGTTTGTGGTGAAAGAGATGCAGGATCAGGAATAACAGAGGGGGGAGTTAAATGTGGTCTGAACATTAGTCATATGAATATTACGTTTGTTTAATTTTTTTTGTATATGGTATTATTTTAATTGTGTCCAGTTTTTACTAAATTTGTCTGTTCGTTTCTATTTTGTAGTTCACTTTTCAAAAGGCCTTTTTCCATTTTTAAATGAACGGCTATATTTCCCTGACACTGATGCTTGAGATTGAATCCTTAAAGCCTTTAGGCCAGTCAGGGTAGAGCAATGGGGCTAATAGTTAATCATGAAATATGAGCCAGAAGTGGTGTTCAGTCTCATCTTTCAAATGAAGTAGTTTGGTTATACTTTTCAATAAGAACAATAATCACTTTTTGTATGACTTGTATAATTTTCTCTGGCTCTACTGGTCTCTCAATCAAAAGGCTGTTAAGGAATCTTCTCTGGTAGTCTGTTGTTGCCCGTTGTTACATAATATGGGGCCTTCAGTTCCCAAAGATCCATATGAACTTTGGACAAGATGTGTTTGCAGAAACAGTTTGCCCATATTTAAAAGTTTGTGGATAAACAATAGGGCATTTTGTGGCCATTATTTAAGTTATTTAAATTAATAAGAAATAAAGGAATTTTAGGGAGCAATTTGATTCTTCCTTTTATTTATTAAAGAAAAACGGTGTTAGTCTATATTTGTTCTGTTCTTGTCTGTGTTTGGAGGACAATTGAAACTGAGGAAGGAAATTAGTTTATCTTTGACTTTATTTATTGTGTGTTGGGTTTGTCTTTTTCAATTAATTTGCCAGTTAAGGGAATAGTTCGCACAGAAATGAAAATTTACTCGGCCTCAGGTCATCCGAGATATGATTTTATTTCTTCAAACAGATTTCTTCAGAACAGATTTTGACAATTGTAGCATTACATCATTTGTTCACCAATGATTCCAGTGGAATGAATAGCTAATAAAAACAAAACAATTATTCCAAAAAAAGTGAAAAGCGGTTAAAAAAGAAAAGAAAAATCATTAAGATTTTAACCTAAAATCATTGTTTCTTGCTAAAATATGCGTTCTTTATCCATAACATTGCTTTCTCCAGTTAAAGTTGTCTTGTCTGAATCAGGAGAGAAATATGCACTAGTCAAGTGAAAATGGTTCTAAACAAATATGCTGGTGGTTTTTAGTGGGAGCGGATAACCCTGATAGACTTTTTCACTGGAGGAAGTGTTATGGATTATGGCCAGAAGTGATGGTTTAAAGGTAAAAAAAAACAAAAAACACCAATGATAGATTTGTTTCATTGCTTCACAAGATGTTAGACTGATAGACTGGCCTTGTGTGGATTATTGTGATGCTTTTATCAGCTGTTTTGACTCCTTCTGATGGCACCCATTCACTGCAGTTGATCCATTGGGCAGCAAAAGATGCTAAAATGATACATTTCTCCAAATCTGTTCCGATAAATAAATAAATCTAGGATGGCCTGAAGGTAAGTACACTTTCAGAAAATTGTCATGTATGGGTGAGCTATTCCATTAAGTGTTCTGTACATGTTCTCCAGGTCTGTATTTACATCTGCCCAGTAGTTACATTGGCGTCTTACCGTTCAGGCTGCTTTCACCCAGCACTGTATAATGATGGAGACGTGCAGATGGTTAAAAACAAGCTGTTCAGTGTATTTCGCCCCTTGAAACATTTAATGCCATATTCGGTTTCCCCCCCATATTCAGAGAGCGCATTGCGGGCTGTAATTTGTGCGTGTTATGAACGGATGATCGGTTCTCGCAGGTTTCCTGAGCGGCCAAAACAGCGGCCCACCCACCTGTATCGGAATAGCTAAGTGCACACCGGCTAATTGCTGTCTGTAGGAAGGAAAGCCGATGAGGGGGAAGATATGAGCCTGAAGTACATATACAATAATCGAAAAAATTCAAAGCATTTATTTAAATCAATGAGGTTTCAAATTTCAGTGGGTTGCACAATAGGCCTAAACTAGTCTGCAAAACGGCTCGCCCTTTTCACCTGAGAATCACAGTATCAAGAAAAACAAATGAATTGCTCCACTAGCACAGAGTGGTTTATATTTCATGCCCTCGGTGGATTATGTGCTGATTGCATCGCTCTCCGTGGTGCTGAAATGGCGATTGACGGCTGTCGATTAGCCAGAGGCGCCGGTAGAGGCTCAGCGTTTGGCTGCATGTGTCTCTATCGCCGCAGAGGATATGTGATGATTAACCCGAGCTCATTTGTTTGATATTAGATTAGGTGCAGATTAATTAAACGGAAGTATTTATCACCAATTTAATCAAGCATGCAATTGCCTAGATCAGTGGTTCCCAAACCTGTCCTGGAGGATCCCCTGCTCTGCACATTTTGTATGCCTCCCTAATCAGACACACCCAATTTAGTTCTTTCAGTCTCTACTAACGAGCTGATGAGTGGAATCAGGTGTGTTAGATAAGGGAGACATACAAAAGGTGCAGGGCAGGGGGGCCTCCAGGACAGGTTTGGGAACCACTGGCCTAGATGATTAATCTTAGATAACTAAGGACTTTTTTTAATGCAAGTTGTATTTATTGCAAAGAAGAGTATTTTAATGCAGATTGAATTAATGAAAATATGTATGTAAATGTACATCGTGCAGTACCTAATTCATTACACGTGTTTATTTTTAAGTACTTATGTGAATGTAAGGCTTTTATTATAGGCTGTGCCAAATAATGGGCAATGGCTGTGTCATCAAGCAGGGTTGTCCCCCCCCCTTTTATTTGCATTTTGTTTGCTAAACCCCTAGCTGCCACATTTAGCAACCGCTATACGTCTTTATTTCGATGCCTTACTGTTTTTCTGCAACCCATTCTTGTGTTCTTTAAGGAATCAAGATTATTAGAGTCACAGACAAAATGACATCGTTGCCATGGCAACCGGTCAGTGTGTATCCCTTCAGCGCACACACACACTCACACACCGTATTGCTTAGCCAGCCATAATCGTGGCAAGGATGAGAAGTAGTTTGAGAAACGAAACACTTGAAGCGGTCGGGAATCGACGTATCAAACCCTCATCAACACCGTCTCGCGAAGCCAATAAACGCACTATTCAGCGCAGCGGACCTCTGTGAGAACACCCGCCTCATTCCACCGGTGTTTCGTGACAGGGTCGGAATGTTCTTGTGTGCACACTTTGCAGGCGGCGTCGATTAACGGCAACGTTAAAGAGCAACACCGAGAAGAAACGCATCTTCTTCAAAACGGTGCTTTTCGTTTTTCTGAGCGTTATTTAAAATATTGGAGGGATTTAGGGAAAGGTTATCTCACCTGGAACACTTTCACAGTACATAACGTTTACACGCAAATAAGTTGTGCACGATCTTTTGCCAATCGCTAAAAATTGATGCTTTATCTGTAGTACGAACATGGAAACAACTGGGGTAGGTGAGAGAAAATCCTGGGAAGAAATTAGTGACTATAACTGTTGTTTTGTTGCCAAAAGACGAGACTGCCAGCAGTAGGGAAGTGCTGCAACAGTTTGTGGAAATAACAGAATTTCTCAGCCATCATCGTTTCTCAGGGTTGAATAAGATGCGAGACTGGCGCTGTCTTGAGGAGCGGCAGAAATCAGCACAGGTAAGTCGCTCAAGTTGAACAATTTTTCAGCAAGTCATTTAATCGACTCCTCAGACGTCTGTGTTTGGTTCTCTATCTTAGTTTCGTGATTTGCGCTGAGAAAAAAAAGGAATGTTAGACTAGTTCGACATGCTCATGTCACATTTTGTTTTTAATCAATTGCAAGCGACCGGAGGAAGATGTTCACACATTAAAGTGTAAGGTGGCTCCACATTACCCTTCGTGCAAACATGCATTCACGCCTACGCAGACGGCCATTCACTGCTCTCGCCTAATTGTCATGTCCACCTACTCACCCGCGTGCGAATTACAGGTCCACAATCCACAAGAGACACTTCGATATTCGATAGTTTCACCTCCAGCCATCAGAGATGTATCAAACCCTGTTATTATTGGGGAATATGACTGTAGCGAGAGCAACAAAAGTTTTTTTTTTTTAATGTTAGCTTATGTTATGCTAAATTGACAGAATTAACAGAACACACCCTGGTGGCATTTTCTAAAACCAACTTCTAAAATATAATTGTGGGTGATTTTTATATTTTTTTTGTACTTGATAACTGCAGGTGAAAAGCAAAGATGGCATCACTGTTGGAAATTATGACAAATCTGAGGTTTATGCTTGTGAATTAGGCTACGTTATATACAACACCGTCTGGTTCGTTTAGTTTAAAAGAAAACAAAAAAGGCCAAGGCCCTGACAAATAGAGTTCAGTAATCAGGTGAAACTTAAAAAGTAAAGAAGTCCTGAGATCCCGTGTTGATCATTTAAATGACTGGACATTCATTTGTTGATTTATTTGAACTGGTTTCATTATCCCAGCTCATGAATAAAGCTGGTTTTCTTGTTTGAAAGTAAAAATTCCTGTCAAGAGGCACCAAGCAGAATCTGTGCTTGCCAAATGGCACCTTTTGGTGCTTCGCAACACATTGTACTGATTTTTTGGGGACTGCACATATGACAGAAGCCTTAGTCTCTCTCATTCTGTCCTATGTGAAAATTACTCATCTCATTCCTTTAGATCTAATGACGCTTTTTTTTGTATTTCACTTCTCATTGGATTCATTTGACAGACCAGCCCTTTCCAGAACAAGGCAGTGCATTTATAAATATGCATTTTTAATATGAGTGTATGTTATAGATGCATAGGCTTTAGGACGTAATGGACTGCTAGTAAAGTCCACGAATAGCCTGGACTGTCACGGGGGGGCGGGATGTAGGAAAAAGGCAAACTATTTGTCTTTCACGAGAACAGCAGTTTTAGAGGGGAGAAGAAGGTCTATTCATCCTATCTATCATTCTCTTTCTCCTTCTATACAAGTCTGAACTACTGCAGTGCTATTCTGAGGGAGAGTGAGCTGCCTCAACCCACGCACTGAATATCACCGAGAGAGAGAGGGAAATGGTCGAGAGAACATCCAAAACAGACATGTTTTGCAACAGAAATACAATGAAATGGAAGGAGAATAGCATAATTTCCTAAAATCAGATTAAAAGTGGATGAATCGTCCGTGATTCCTCTGTGAACTCACGTTCTAGAAACTGTTTGTGAATGCGCCACATCTTCAGTGTCACATCTCTTAGAAGTCGCCCACAGTGCCTTGCTGATTGGGTGCCGTGTTCAGGAAAAGCTAATCCAGTTTGTAGAGGCGCATACTGTTTCACATAGACGAGAAGGTGTCGAAATGGCCTACGCTTTATTATAGATATGCAAATGAGAGGTTACTCTTTTTAATGTTATGGGCTGTTCTTAGGTTTGCTCCTGTGAAAACTGTAAATGGCCCACATGAATCACTCAATGTCACACCTGTTCAGATCAGAGTTCTGTGACTAAAATGTCTTCTCTTGCTGCTTAGTGCTTGCAGCCGAACTTCTCACAGGTGTGCACAAAATACAATGGCGAAAAAGGAAAAACATTCTGCCCACGTAGGTCGCTTGTTGCGCTGTATGTGCAAAATCCGTAATTGCATCTGTCAATGCAAAGTCCTTTCTAAAAGCACTTTGGCTATTTAATGCTTCCATATTAATTATGCACAAAATGGGGGCAAAACCACAAGCAGGTTATGTTCGGCTAATTATGAAAGCGTTATTGGCAGCAGTGTTGAAGTCGTTTTGCAGCATTCATCAAGTTCCCAGCATTACATAAGTGAATATAGTCTGAGCATTCAAATAATTCTTTTGTAATATACCAAATTTTGTATAATATTTCAATCATTACTTTTATTGTGGAATATATAATCAAATTCAGTCATGGCAATTTTAAACATTTGCCACACATCTTTATTGCATCTTATAATATAATATAATACACTGAAAAACAGTTTTCTCTCAGAAACTGCCTATAAATTTAATAAACAAGTACAAAGAAATGGCAAGTAACACATTGAATTAAATGTGAAATTTTGAAGTAGAAAAAATATGTAATTGTATACATTATTGAATCAATATATAATATTAATTGTATATTCTTTTAAAACAAATAATCATTGTTTTATTTACAACTTCAAAAAAACATTTATAGTGTATATAATATAATTTTATACATTATTTGCTTGAACTTTAATACAAGCAGTGCTTGTTCCCAGATTTATGGTGTTAATGTTATGTGCATTACATTAAAAATATTTCAGAGAACGTTTAGCTAATATTTTTATATTACATTTAAATAATTTAATAGTTTTTCTTTTTCATACTTTTGTAAATTTGAGCCTACCAATATTTTCTGTGTATTCCTGTGCCTATGTGTTTTGAAATTATACCTGCATTTTTTTGGAGTATTTTCTTGTAAAACATACTCAAATAAATAATGCTTTATTTACAACTTAAAAAATACTTTTTACAGTGTGTCTTAACACTGCTTGTACACAAATTTATGGATTTCATATTTGTTCATGACTTTCAAAATACTTCAAAGAATAATTAGCCCATATTTTTATATTTATTTAGCATTTAAATTATTTAAAAAAAATTTTTTGTATTTTTGTGAATTTGAGCCGGTGTACTTTCTGTATTTTCTTTGTATTTCTATCCCTAAGTATATGTTTTTCATTTCTAAAATCAGTCAATATTCCATAGTTCACTACTTTAGCTGATGTACAGAACCAGCTTGATGCCACGACGCCACTGTAGACGTGCTGTATAGCCGCTATACCTCAGATGAGAGCGCAGCCTGCAGCAGTGACACAAGTATTATTTACCTGGCCAATGCTGTATTTCCTGCAGATTTGTGTGTGGCTCCTCTCTGTGCAGTTTTCCTTAGTGGTATCTGTGCCTCATTACATCAAAGACGTGCTGTTTTGTTGTCCCTTATGGCATTAACTTGTTGATCTGCGACGACTGATTTTGTATACTCACTCTTTCAGAGGACTATACACATTTTTTATACCTGTAAAAAGTGCAGTTTGTGAGCCAGCATACTGTCTGCATGTGTTGCAGTCTCTATGTTTGGTGTTAGCACTGTATGTTCCCGGTGTTGTGTATTGTGTACACCGTGTGCGTATGTGTGTTAGTAAGTGGTGTCACTGAACGCTCTCCATTCTCTTCCACCCACACACTGCACTCCCACATACACACGCACACAAACACACAAAGCACCTCTCCTCTGTCATACCTCTGGCTCTGTGCACTTCTGCTATGCTGTGCTCATATTTAAATCTCTACCCTGCATTTATCTCGCTTTTCTTTTGTACTTTACCCAACCTTCTTTTATCTGCTCGACGGTTTTCCACAGGCCCCTACAGTTGTGAAAAATAAAGCATATAGGTATTGATTACAGAATAACTTCAGCACAACACTGACTCTTTCACTTCCTCACAAACATTCTGACACATAGACCTACAGTGTCAGGAAAGCAGCATCTCTCTCTTGCTTTACCCCCTACTTCGTGTCACGCATCATGCTACGCTCTCTGAAAAGGACTGATCACTATTTGTTCAGATCATTGCTACTATTCACTTCTCTCAATGCTTCTGATTCATAGTGACTTGTTGTAACACATTAGACAAACGGTCATCACATCAGCCCTTCTTTTCAGCGTCATGAGCTGAAATCTGCAGCTGTACTGCACGCACTTAGTATAAATGTTAGATTTAGGTTTAAGGACAGATTTAAAGGATAAAAATTAATCTTAAAATAATAATCTTGCTTAAATCTAAATGTAAATATTAAATCAATATATAAATGTTAAATGTACTGTATATTTATTCACAGTATATTGCTGTTACTGTAGTTAAGTGTGTTTTTCAAGTATCAGTACTTAATATTTACTTCACTATATTTCAGTGCGTAATATCTTACTTCACCACACTGCAGAAAACACGCTGTTCATCGTTATTTCACGGATTCATATCTATCTATCTATCTATCTATCTATCTATCTTTGTTGTTTTTGCAGAAACAAAATTACACAATGTTAACACAAATAAAAAAAAAATAGACAAGAGGAAAAATTCAAAGCAAACTAATAAAATATTTTTATATAGAGAAACATAAAATTTCAGACTTTCTATTATGTTTTTTTATATATTTGAAGAATCATAACTAATACGATTATCAGAGCATGCATGTCGGTTTTACTGATAGGGCAAAAGCAAGTTAGCTATTGTAATTATGAGTTTTGCTTATAGTTTATTGCAAATGGAAATCATATACACGACTATACAATGCTTATTTGATAAAATAATCAGTTAATGGGCAAGTTGTTTAAGAGTTCATGTTAATGTTCAAGAGTCATTTCATTGTCATATTTTGCGGTTGTTTACATTTGTTTCACACACTTCTCAGTAACTTTGATATTAAAAGTTTAATATTTTGATTGTGTGCAGCAATTTCTTAAAAAAAAAAAAACGAATGTTTGCTTATTTGCAGATATGTGTATTTAATGTCTGCATTCACTGATATTTCTTATGAACAAGCGCTGGCTAGTTAATGCATGGTTTTCTTGAATAAACCAATTTTTTTTATTGTAGATAATGTGTATAGACATGCAGTCCAACCCCATAAAAAACTCTTTTGTGTTGAATTCTGTGGATTCTATATTGATCTCATTAGTTGCTGCATACCTTATTTGCCTGTCACATGCCATACGTGTCACAATGAAAATAATAGGCTGCCATGCAGATGACAAGCTAACTATGATCTTTCAAAAACTTTCACAGATGTCTGTGTGTGTGTGTGTGTGTGCGCGCATGTAGGATGTAACATCAATGTGTTGATTTCTTTTCAGAGGCACATCGCTTGATAACTGAACACTTCATAACCGCCAGTGGATTCCAAGATCAGCCCTGCAAAAATAGTGAGGAAACAGCCATGTCCACACCATGGGATTTTAAACCATTTCACCAACAGCTTCAGCAAACTGTTTCAAACGTTTCTCGGTCTCAATGAAAACTGGGCTTATCTTAAAAGCAAATCTGCTGCGTGAACCTTAAGAAACTGGAGAGCGACTGCACGGTTTACACAGTCACTCTCCTTGGAAATTTCTGTTGTGAAGACAATCAGCCTTGAAAACGTTTTACGTCTTTTCTGCCACCATCATCGTTTTTTTTGTGTCTGTGTCAACGGTTTATTATACATTCTCAATACACACCTAAAATAGGTGTAGATAGGGCGTACATTTTATATCCAACATGACGGATGACTCTATTCATATCTGATCTCTTTGAACTATTTTAAATTTGCACGCAGGATTATCCATTTGGTAATTCTTCACATGCTGAATGAGGAAACACACATTCAGTTTAGTTCAGTAATGTATAGGCCATGAATGAAATACTGAACAAAATCAAAATGATTCCTCACCATACTACCCTCAAAAGAGTTCAACATTCGGAGTAGTCCTGTTAACACATAAACAAGTGCAGTAGAACAAGATTATTTTCTGAGGTTATTATTATTATTTTTTCACCAAGTGTATGGAAATTGTTTATACTTGTTAATAATAGTAAACATTCAGGGAGCATTACAGGTCAGGGAAATCTGCTTAAAGACTAAGTGCCATTGCTGAATGTAAGGAGTGTCCAAAAAAAAAAATTGTGGCGAGAAGCAAAACATTAGTTTACATTTTAAAGATGTTTACAGTTGCCAGTTGCCCCTTTCTCTTAAATTAATATTTAATTCTGATAAGTGCCAAAACGGGGAATTAAACCTAAATACTTTTAATGTACACAGTTGTACTACAACATAATTGCCTTCATGTGTCATGAAAACACTAGCTACTGAAGTAATAGAAGGACAGTAACGAGAAGCCATTTTGTTTGTCTGCGGAAATGTGTAAATGTGTGTTTTTGAAGAAAGCCACAAAAGGGAATATTTGCCTTGTTAATACATTCAAAACTGACAATTTGTTAAATAGTCTTTCATTTCCTGTTTATACATGAACTAGCCAACTGTATGTTGCCTGCACAGAATATTGTCAGCGTTTGAATTGTTTCACATATTGTTCAGGTTTTCCAGCTATATGATGGACGGAAGCGCCGCATGATGAGAGAATATGTGTTGTGTAACTCACCTTGAAGCTGAAAGCACATTAAAATAGTTATTTTTCTCTCACGCCGTCTCGGAGTGTGACCGTCCACAGCACACACTTTAACAGACTTTGAGAACAGATTTTTCTTTCGAGACTGTTTTGATATAGACTCAGATTTCATACGTCGGAGGGCTGTTACAAGGATATTTTACATACAGCGCAATCAGGCTGTTTTTACAAAATTCGGCATTGTGCGGTGGGTTGAGTCAGCGAGAGAAAATAGCAGCGTTAGTCATGTAAAGATGATGCCCACCTTGGAAGCTCGAATGCGTGTCATCATTCTCTTCCTGCTAATCGCTGTCCCACTTAACGCTTCCTCTGCGAGCGTCCCGGGCCCCACCAGAAACACACCAAATGGGCCTATCACCATAACCCCGACGCTCAACCCCAGATCTCAGGGTAGGGGCTTTCTGTACCCCCTTTCTAAAAATGGTGGGGGTATGCGAGGGAAGTCCATGAATCGTCGGCCAAAGCAGCCAGCTGGAGCGGCAGAAATGCCCCTCAGGCCACTGCCTCAGATAATGCTGTCAAAGAATGTAACGACTGATGCACTGAAGGCCCCTTTCGGAGCGGCGCAGGTAGCTCCGCCTCCTCGCAAACTGGTGGAAGTGGACGTGTGTCGGGGTTATTATGATGTCATGGGGCAGTATGACCTCACCTTTAACTGCTCCAAGGATGACTTCATCTACTGCTGCGGCACTTGCCATTATCGGTTTTGTTGTCCGGACCGCACTCGAAGGCTGGACCAGAACATCTGCCACAACTACCATTCCCCTGTGTGGGCCAATACGGCCCCCCCTGCGAGCAGACCCCCACCGCCTGCCCACCCGGACCTCAGCCGCATCGAACAAAGCAACAACACGGTCTACGTCATCGGCGGAGTCATCTCGTTTACAGTGGCAGTGGCAGTGGCCATTAAAGTGGCGTTCCACAAGGCATCACGGCAGCCTAGGAACAGAGAACTCGACATGCCCAGGTGAGAGTTCATGAGTCTTGATCAAAAAGGATGTTTGATCTACCTTAAATTGTGTTCTATTGACTAATCGTTCCTACATCCTTCCCTGTCAGGGCTCTTGTGGAAATGTTGCGTCACCAGTCGAGTCCAGTTCAAGAGGGAGAGAGAAACAACAGTGTAGCCTTGGGTACTGGAGGAGGAGAGGGAACTCTTGGACGACCCCCGAAAAATCACTATCCAACGCTACAGAGTAAAGATAACCGACGTGAGTGGAAAACTCCATAATCTCCATACATAGGGGAGATGCCCCCCTTAAAGGGTTAGTTCACCCAAAGATGAAAATTAGTCCATGTTTTACTCACTCTCAAGGCATCCTAGGTTTATATGACTTTCTTCTTTCAGACGAATCCAATCAGAGTTATATAAAAAATTGTCCTGGCTCTTTCAAGCTTTATAATGGCATGGGCGGGTGTTTTTGTTCAACAGTCCAAAAGTAGTCAAATAAAGCGCATCCATCCATATTAAAACACGCATCACACGGATCTGGGGGGTGAATAAAGGCCTCCTGTAGCGAATCGATGCGTTTTTGAAAGAAAAATATCCATATTTAAAACGATATAAACAGTTCTGTGTAACTTCCGCTGACTGTTGTAAGTGCGTTCATGATAGACTGCCTTTCCGGCGGATGACGCAGCACATGCGCATGTGAGTCTCGCGAAAACCAACGTTTGTTTACAAGAGCAAAGGAAGCAAAGTTTCCTTACTTTACCAAAGGAAAACCAGTCTCCTCTTGGCTTATATCGAAATTCTCTGACATTTTTCTTTACAAATCCTTGATTTGTGCTTCTAATTCTTGATCAGCATTTTGTTTTGTTCTCTCTCCGTCACGCTTCCGAGTTCGTCACTAATCACCGGCGCTTACTCTACGCATACGTCCTACGTCATCTGCCAGAACGGCTTCCGCCTATGACAGTTAGCAGAAGTGAGAAAAAGTCTTTATAGTCTTTAACTTAAAAGTGTTTATATCGTTTTAAATATGGATATTTGTCTTATAAAAAGGCATCGACTTGCTAGAGGAGGCCTTTATTCACCCCCCAGAGCCGTGTGATGCGCGTTTTAATATGAATGAGTGCACTTTATTTGACTACTTTTGGACTGTTGGAAAAAAAAAAACTGCTCACTGCCATTATAAAGCTTGAAAGAGCCAGGACAATTTTTAATATAACTCCCATTGGTTTCATCTGAAAGAAGAAAGACATATACACCTAGGATGCCTTGAGTAAAACGTGGGCTAATTTTCATTTTTGGGTGAACTAACCCCTTAAGAACAGTGTATTTAATTTAGCAAGATGATTTTAGCATGTTTAAGATCGTATTACTATTTAATATATCATTAATAAAATGTATTATAATTTATTATTAAGAGAAATTAATAGAAACATTAATTGGTAGCACGAAATTGACAAGTCATGAAAGGGGACAATCTTGCACCCCTGGGGTGAAATGAACCCCTCCCTTGGGCTATTTTTAAAAAGTTTTTATTTATTTGTTTGTTGTTGAAAAAGGTAAAAATACTAAATTAAATATTCTATGTACATTTATGCATTCAAAGTAGTTAATAATTACATACAAATCAGATAACAGAATCCCTGTTGAAGAGAGAGATCTGAATTACACTAGATACACTACTAATCAAATATAGACTATATTATTTGAAAAGATGTGATGATAGCAATATTCTATGAATTCAGTTCCATAAATCCATGAATTATTCAGTTTAATTAACCTATATGTTATAATGAATAATGAAGATATTTAAAATGTACATACAATACTACACTATTTAATTATGATATTATTAAAAGTTCATTAATAATAATTATTAAACAAAAAAATATATATTATTGCAGAAGCAGCAACATGCCATTGGGGACCTTTTGCCCCATTTCTGAGGGGGACATCTCACTTTAACTTTTCTCTTTAAAAGTAAAAATGAAAATTAATATTTGTTATCATACAAATTATAATAATTTTGTGTGTCCACAGATCCTCCATTAACAAAAAGACATAGAAAGCTTTAATATGAAACTTAAATTCAGGTCACTATAATCCAATGACAAAAAATTTAAACCCCAAACCTGTTCAAATGGAATAAATCTCACAAATGTTAATGTGTAAATGAAAAGTCAAGATTCATGAGAGCATAACCATCCACTAAATGTACTGAGATTTATTATTATTAATATCTATGGTCAAGAAGAAAATTAAAAGTCCATTATTTCCATATAAAATTTCCATAAGCTATAAAATTAAATGTCCATTATTAAAATCCATTAAAATCCATCAAGACTGATAAAAAAAATCCCATTAATTGCATGTCAACAGCTATAACTTGAAAAAAAGTGTCCTGGGTCAAATATTCATGAATATTAAATTATGTTTTAAATGTGAACTAATGTTATCCTCATGGACCAGGTTGCAGTTGGCTGGTATTATTGCATTATGTCATACAGTGTTCCTTTCATGTTTCCATCTGAGCTTGAGCCTTGTGAACGGCCAACTGTATAAATTCAGGACAAGGAAGGAACACAGGGAAAAAGCAATAGCCAAATGATGAAAGGGCATTTGTGAATTATTTAGCACAGAGCTGTATATGATGGCATTAGAATGAACAGACGGTGTAAAAATTTCAACACATTGTGGAGCTAGAAAGAGCTTAATAGGGCAACATTTACAGTAGATGGATAAATGTACTTTGTGAATTCATACTAAATGTAATTTGTCACAAAGACATGAAGGCAGAAATCTCTAAAGCACATGTCTTTGTTCTGTTTCACAGTGGGGAATCTACAGCATAACTTCATCCACACCACAGGCTCCAGTCCCAAACATACAGCCACCATTGGTAGGTAAAGTCCACAGCTCTACAATTGTTTGTTCTGAGTTTGAAATGACCTCGATGTCCATCACTGTGTGTTTAAAGAGCGTGCACCACGCATGAACAACATGCAGATGACCACCGGTGGCACATTGAAGCCCAGTAAACATACCAACGCCATGAAGCCCCAGCCGTCCTTCCATCACTCTCTACATAACCTGGCTCAGCTGCCGCCCTCGTATGAAGCTGCCATGAAGCCTGAGATCAACAGATACTCATCTCTCAAGCGTCTGGGTGAGTGCTTTATTACCAGTAGAGAGGAAGATTCTAATCTTAAGGAAATTATGTTTTGTAGGAATTACATAAAAGGTTGGCTTGATTGCTTTCTTATTATAGCCCACATAATTTCAAAGGCATAAAGCAAATTTATAAGCAATAAGGAGAAATAGATGGACGAACATCAAAAACAGTGTGACATTTAGTACTGTTGTGTTTTGAAGGAGAAATTACCTGCTTGATGATGAGGACACGAGTCTCATGCGGAGCTTAGAGCGTTGCGTAAAAATATCTGTACGCTTGGGTTTTTATTTAAAGCAGTGTTAGTGTTTCACTGGAATGCTTGGGAGATATAAATGTTTGTGAAGGTGATTTTAATGAGGGCAAACCATTGCAAAGCGCCCGCAATCTTGTACAGACATATACAGCCTTAAGGCCTCTCTCTCAGCTAGACATCAAACCTCCTGTGAAGTGTGAGTTACAGTTGGAGGGCAAGAAAGTTCTGCACAGGCGAAGGTTATACAGGCTGATACAATGACTCAAGACTTAATCAGCCAAAAGATGAAATGGCTCAGGGTTGAGGATAAAACAGGATTGTATTAATATTGCTATATTAATGAAATAAAGTGTTAAGCATTGATGCAATCAAGCATTATATTACAGTTTTTCTCAGTTGCTTTGGTGCATTTCTCAGGTCAGAAATGAAATTCTCAAAACTACTTGTTCAACCTCCACATCATCTAGTCACTTGTGCACATCATAAAAGCAGTTTCTCATTCTTTTGAACAAGTTGCGATTGCTTTGGTACATTCATGCAATTGATTATGTACATGCTGTTGTCATGTTGCTCAAAATTTATTATATAGTTCTGTGTGCAATAGTCTTACCCCCTCAGAACATCTAGTCATTAGTTTATCGTGTAAGTCATTAAATGCAACATGGTTGATCTAGTTGTCATAAACTGTCACGCATATTTTCTACACATTTCTATTAGTCTTTTTGTAAATTTGCCATGAATTGTGCAGGTAAATCTTGACTTTCACTAATGAAGAGAATCTGGATCAACCAATGATAACTAGGTCTCTGAAATTCCTCGTACAGTGCTGCATGCAAAAACAAAGTTCTGCCCAAGGGGTGTTTCCTGTGTTTGTCTGTCTACATTTGTATTTCTGCCTTTGTGCCCATATTTCTTTTTCATTTCTATATCACAATGATGTTGTAATGTTTTTTTTTTTTTTGTCAGACCACTATAGTAAAAGTGTAACTGTGAATCCAGTCTCTTTCAATCAATATACCACATACAGTAATTTGTAAATTTGTACTTTTGAAATGGATATATGGCATACATAAGTGCAGCCTTCTGCATTTCAATATAGTATGTCCTCCAAACAGTTGCCATAATTTACATCAGGTAATACTAACAGAGTGCACTGTAATATTGACAACATGACTAAGCATTTTGACTATCTTGTTTGTGAACAATGACACAAGGACTTTTCATTCTGATGGCACTGATATGTTCATTGACATAAATACTTTTGAGAGATGAACTAAAGATTTTGAGTAAGTTACAGGCTTTTGCAGGTAATACATCGTGTGGTGCTGTTTGTACGAATTGTTTTGAGAAATGCATACACTTCTTTGCAAATATTAAGCATGATTTGAGAAATGCACCAAAGCGACTGAGAAAAACTGTAATGAAATCAAGCGTTAAACATGTAGTACAGAGTTGGAGGTTGAAGAATTTATATTAAGAGTTTAGTAAATTGTGATGAAAGTTTGATTGAATTTCTAGCTTGTAGCGCAAAGCTTGATGTGCATTCATACAGGGGCGTAGATTACGCGGGGGACGTGTCCCCCCCCCACTTTTAATATCACGTAAATTCGTCCCCCGCACTTTTTCGGGCAAGTGTGTTCGCATAGAGGGTTTCACGAGCCGGTGTGAATAAATATAGATTTAAATT